ATACATTTATTAACTGAGCATTTACCACACGAAAGGATATATCCTGAGACAGAAACTCTCTGCTCTAATTAGGAAGCCTCATCTCGGAAGAGCATCTTTGTCTGGATTTTTAATCCTGCCTCTCCTTCTCATAGTACTAGCATCAGTAAGACTGAGCATGCTAACAACTCTTTACACACTTTCCATAGAGCGATTCTGACAATTTCTCTCCTCGCTTCCCTCTCACCCTTGACAGAAGATGCCGAAATGCTTCAATGGTGCCCCTTTTGGTAGAACAACTATCTCCAACATATTCCAGACTTCAGAAATATAATGAATGCCCATCATCTACTTCTTTTTGCTTAAGCACAAGCATATCTCACATTTCACTTGGCTAGGTGTTCTTCAGCAGTTCACTCATCACACTGCTTATTTACCTTTGGACCTACTGACGCAGACTGGTATTAACCTGGGAGGTACAGCCCCGGCTCTATCATTTATAGAGGCTGGCTTTTACGTGATCTTCCCTTTCGTATCTGGGGCATCTTCACGTTAAGGTAACAGGCAACATACACAGCCTCAAGAGAAGCAGCTGGTTGTATACTACACTTTAATAAGGTAACTAAGGCTTATTTGAGTTCTTAAATGAATGGGTGTCTGAAAATTGCAAGGGTGTGACTGCTACTAAATGACAATACGCTTGGGACAGCTTATTTAGTCATGGAAAACCATCCAGTTTTAATGGGTAAGCTGCCTTCCCAAACACAAGCAATGGTCAGCAGACTAAAGCCCCACAACCAAGAAGGGGCAACACAGAAATGGTATGATCACCTGCACAGGCACGGCTTTATACTGTATTATACTGCTATTGGATAAATACATTCCAGTCATTTTTGCTGCTGCTGAAGTATAAACCAGTGACAAGGAACTGCTGCGTGTATGATTTGTCTAAGGCTGGGAATAAAAAATTAATAACATTTGATCCTATAGACAAGCAGCTATTAAAAAAGAATTACTGGAACACATGAACAAACACTACAGTAAAGCCCTTTTTATCAAAAATCTTCCAAGAAAGACACTGGGAAAAATTTAGAGCAAGTGGGGGATATACAAGTGTACTAAAAGTATTCTTTTCTTGTTTACAGGGAAATCAAACCAGCCATGTGACGTTTCACAAACACTGTGAGCCTTCAGTCAGGCACTGCTAAATGTAACCAAAGTGTAGTGGTTCCTATCTGAAATCACAGGGGTACAACAGACAGCCAGGAGCTACATCCTATTATTATGCAGCTCAGAGAAAATTCTCCAGCACGGAGAACACCAACTTCGCTGACTCTTGTGTTTAGTCTGCTTCTTCAGCCTTATTCACCTGAGCACGTGGACTGCAGAGTCCCCCTCCTGCCAGACTGGCCCCATCTTGAATCAGAAACTTCTACTTCCACATCCTGTATTTTCTTGAGAAGAGTTAAGGACAATGGATTTGTGCTGAGACTGTGATTTAGACATCCCTCAAAGCAGTCAAATCCTCAAATCCTGAGAGAAACTTATCATAAAAATCTTTAAAAAATAGTGTACTGTAAGAACCTCAGAAACTAAGTGATGTCTCTCTATATATAATCTCTATAATTTATCCAAGATTTGTCTGATTGTCAGCAAAACATCCCAGTTCCCCTTTTATTTTCCACCTTCTTTATATCATTATGTTGAGTAAGTTTTTCCCACTATACTATATCATTATGTTCACAATATTTTCCCTGAAGAAAAAAGACAGTTGTTAGATACTTTACGAAGGAAAAATGATTATGTTCAAATGCCTCTGAGAAATGAAAAGCATAAGCAAGCAGGAGGTAAATTTTTTAGCTAAATTAAAATGTAGTCTTATCCTTTCTGTTTGGGGTATCAATTTCTAGGTTTTTAATTGAGAAATTCTCCACACATGTTGGAATATCCTTCCAAATCCAGGCTGTAAAATAGACAACATGTACAGCCTACCTACAATATCCAAGGTAAACAGAAGTTGCTGACTCTCTGTTCAGAGACTGGGGATATGGAGCCCTTGAAGCTGAAGCTGACTGGGATGCACCGTGCCCTTCTACAGCAGCACAAAGAGAGGGGCACACACTCTTGGGCAGCATAAAAGCAAAAATAAGGCTGCAGCATGACTTCTAGGGCCCCACACGAACAAAATTACTCAACAGTGTAGGAGACATGGCCACAGAGGGTCTTCATAGACTTGTGAAGGTAGAAATAAAGCCATCAACTTGGGCTGGACAGGTTCTCTTTGAAATTGCACTGAAGTGGTGTGAAACATCAGAAAGTTACCCATATCCTCTGCCCAGTCACAACCATACTGATTCTCTTGCTAGTTAAGCAGGTTTCCACTATATTTCTATAAACATACACTACCAATTCTCTCCTTTCTCTCCACTGAGTACTTGATAAGGTCATGAGTACATCCACTGAGACCAAATACTTCTATATATAGAAATAATTGCCTGTGGAATTAAGTGCACTTGCCTGGGTATCTAGTTCATACTAAACTTAATTTAGCTGATTCTCCTCATCTGTTATATCCATTATTAGGGACAGTGTATGCTGCCAGCTGCAGTACTGCCTATCAAAGGCAGAAACTAATTAACTAATTGTGTGGCAAGGATGAGCTCCTCTGTGGGAACATTCACAACCATCAGGTGCAGACAAACTATCACAAGGAAGAACCAGTTCCTCCAGCAAGCCATGTTACACACTCCTTTGTAAAGGAGGCAAAAGGAAGGTAGTGTACTCTAGAACATCAGTTCTCATTAAGTGCTTCAAATACATCCCACCCAAACAAAGCAAACATTTGAACAGACCCCGTCTCAGGCAAAGTGTAGTAGATAATATGAGCTGATTGTGAATATGGGAAATGAAATACAACTTTAAAAGAGGCTTTTGGGAAACAATGTTGAGTTTCTGGACATGCTGCGCCCCAAAGCAGGATTCCTGGAGAGGAAGAACCACCAGTAGTGGAAAAGGATCAAGTCATGAAGCTCTGAAAAAATCTCAACCCTTACAAGCCTGAGGATCCAGAGAGAGCAAACCAATGTCACTGCAATGTCTTTATCATTCCTATGATTTTTGAAGGTTGTGGAGAGTGAGAGAGGTTCCCTACAACTGAAGAAAGGTGAATGTTGTACATGTCTTCAAAAAGGGCAGTAACAAGCCATGGATCTATGGGCTGGTTAGCCTCACTCATCTTCCTGGGAAAACCATGGAGCAAATCTTCTCAGAAACTGCTTCTGAGTACATGAAGGTGAAGAAGTGACTGGAACCAGTCAGCACAGACTTACCAAAGGTAAACCATGTCCAACAAAATTGGTTGCCCTAAATAACAGTATGACTGAACTGTGATTGAGGGAGAGCATTGGATGTTTTCCACTTTGACTTTATCAAGGTTTTCCATACTTTCTCTTTACAGCATGCTGGTATATCCAAGTTGTACAGTCTAGATGGTAGACTGTTAGCTGTGTGAAAAACTGGCTCAATCATCAGACTTAAAGGCCAGTGGTTAACACTTTGCATCTACCTGTAGACCAGTTATAAGTGAAATCCATGCTTAATACATTCTACCAGTGGCCTGAAGGAGGAAAACATACGCACCCACCTCAACCCTCAGATGATACACAACTCACTGGCATGTTCAATACCCTTGAGGGCAGGGCTGCTCTTCAGAGGGCCTTAGGCTGGAGAGAGGAATGGGCCAACAGGAGCCTTATGTGGCTCAGAAAGGACAAATGACAAGCCCTGCTTGTGGGAAGGAAGAGCCCTTGGCTATGAGACAGGCTGGGGACTGGCTGCCCAGGAAGCGACTCTGCCAAAAAAGACCTGAGGGCAACAAGCTGAGCATGAACCAGCAGTGCCCTGGCAGCAAAGAAAGATGGCCAACAGCATCCTAAGTTATACCAACAAGAGCAAAGCCAGCAATCAGGTGAAGTGGTTATCCCCTTCCAGATATAGTCCAACACAGGCTGGTTAATACATCCAGGTTGGGGCCCCACGATACAAGAAGAATGTTGACAAACCGGCACAACTTCAGAGGAGGTCCACCAAGACAGTCAGAGGGCTGGAGCACTTGCCCTGCACAGAAAGGCTGAGGAAACAAGGCTTGGCTGCAGTTCAGGATGGAGGCAAAATGGCCATGGGGGACTGCAAAGCTGCCTGTCAGTACCTATGGAAGGGCTGCTAAGAAGACAGACCCAGGCTCTTTACTGAAGCGCATCCAGGACAATGAGCGATGGTGGCCATGAATTGAACCAGGAGAGGTTTGAGCTTCATACACTGGCGGGATGCCACTGTGAGGACTATTTAAACACCAGATTCAACTGCCCAGAGAGGTTGTGGAATCTCTGCTCTCAGGCCCAGACAGACTGGCCAGAACAACTTGGTCTGAATTCACTATCAAGTCTGCTTTGAGTGGGATGTTGGACTGAAGGTCTCCTAAGGTCCTTTCCAGCCTGCGAGGTCCTTCCTACTTGCAGGCAGAGACCAAAACTGGAACCCCTAGAAGGCAAACTGAACAAGATGTCTTTTCTTGTCCTCATGAGGAATGTCAGTCTCAGCTTGTCTAAAAGTCCTGGAGAGAAAACGTTCTTTTTAAACAGATTCCACTGCAATGACTGTTCTCTTCTTATCACAGTTCTCCAGGTGCATTTCTCAACATTTAATTTTTTATCAACATGATGATAAGATCAACAGTATCAGCCCTATAGTAGGCTTGGTCTGAAACAGAAGATGTAACCCAGGTCAGGATTTATATACAGATTTAGAAGGAATAGGCTTAACCCATATCTACTATCTACTATGCTTTGCTCTGGTGTATTCAAAGTCATTCTTAGTTTATATCAGCATAAAGTACAACCATGCTACTTGCCCAGTAGATTTCTTGATGTCCTTGGGAAAGAAGCTTTTAGATTTGAAACAGACAGCTATTTTTCAGAAGGCCTCCAAGCAATCACAAATAAATAAATGGAGCATTTACTTACTTATTCCTTGAAAAAGTTCCTCAATGTTAACAGCATTCTTTGCACTGGTTTCAACAACGATCGCACCTATAGATTCTGCATATTCTTTGGCATCCTTCATAGGAACCTCCCTACCAAAAAAAAAACCAAACAAGAACATAACAAATTTTCAATAAATAATCAAAAACAGTGCAATCAGAAAAGCATTAGTACGCTCTTCTCTGCAAAAGCAGCACTATCTTTCCTCTTCTTATGGCATCATCATATCCTAATATCAAAATTTCACCAACGATTGAGCTACAGTTTTCTTGGACTTGCTGCTGAATCCATGCCTTGGAAAAAAGGAAGATAATTTAAATGATGACCCCATTTGTTTGTTTTGGGTTTTTTTTTGGTCAAACTTGACCATGATAAAAAAATCATTAAAACACAAGAGAAAAGACACAAAACTCTGCTGATCCAGGCAGCAACCGGCACTATCCACACCAAGTGTTTAAACAAGACAGGGTATGACCATGGTGAAGAACGTGTGTCTAAGTGTTTGCAAGCAGCAAGAAAACAAGAGAGATTCTGAAAGAAATATGGAAGCCACTGACTGAGCACATACGCAATAACAATCTGGGACTACCAGATTCACCAAGGAGTGATCACCATTCTGTGCCATGTCAACGCAGTGATACCATCTTAAAATCACTGGTAGAACATCCTCACTTTGTAGCCATCACTTCATATGTCAAAAGCTGCTAAATGCAGTTTACAACCTGCAAGAGACCTCTGCCTCAGACACAAAGCCAAGCCCCCTGCTGACCTTGGATATGCCTGAATCAGGTGGCAAAGCTGAATCTGCCTGTGTTCGCTGCTGTCCAAAACCACCACTATTCCTGAGACTGAACACACTAACAGGCACCCAAGGTGTATCCGATCAGGGGAGACACATTGAAACACCAGGCTGCCAGCCTTATTTTATTTCCAGTTGTTCTATACACCAGCTGCTGTGATTTGTGTGGCTTTACAGCTCTGTTGCACATGCTGCTCTGATGTACCAATCCAGAGACTCTCAGTACAACTTCCTCCTAGTATGACTGCCTTGGGCTTTGACAGAAGCTATTTAGGTGGGAGCACAGCAATGCAATTTCACAATTAGTTTCTGAAGGTATGTATTTTAAATTAATCAGACCTGCTGCTCATGGGAAATGTGCAGAGAGGCAGAATAATTGCCTGGTTTATTACAAATGTTTTTCAAAAAATTAGCCTACAATTCCAGCATCTGGATTCAGAGCTTATTTCCATGACTTGCTTCTTTGCATTATACATCTTCTTATTGCAAAGACACATGGAAAGCAGCACTCCCATTACTATTTCTGTAACGGCACCTTGGCCTTGTTTATGAAAGGTACCACCATCTGTGGATGGCCCTGGAGATAAGAAAAAAGGAATGTAACTATGTAAGATAATATTCAAACAACAGTAAAGGAAGAGATGTGAGAGCATAAGTTTATGTAATGAAGACTGTCAACTTGCTATAATTTAGATGAGGACGCAAACTTCAGGAACGGAGGAAATGGTTCAACAGCAGCAAGTGACCATATCCCAAGGAAGTATCACAGAACTTCTTAGCCCTATCTGATGACATTTCTAAAGGAGGCCTATAAGAGTTCACAGCACGTGGGCAATAAGCATCATGCCATCCAGTGCTGCCAGCACCAAGAAGGCTGCATACATCAAGTTAACATAATCTGGATGTCAACATTGCTAAGATGCTACCTTGTCAAAAGGAGAAGCATAAATGCTTGAACTCTAAGCCTAGAGATGAACACACGCAAGATAGGGTGAAGAGAGAAGAAAGAACCATCAGCAGAGTGCTGAGAAAGCGTTATTCCACAGCTACTGGGAAAGTTAGAGGAATACCTATTCTGAAAGATGCAAATTATTTCATAGAATCATAGAATAGTTAGAGTTGGAAAGGACCTTAAGATCATCGAGTTCTAACCCCCTGCCATGGGCAGGGAAGCCTCACACTAAACCGTATCACCCAAGGCCTTGCCCAACCTAGCCTTGAACACTGCCAGAGATGGGGCAGCCACAGCTTCTCTGGTCAAGCTGTTCCAGTGTCTCACCACTGTTGTAGTACAGAATTTCTTCCTTGTATCTCATCTAAATCTCCCCTGTGTAAGTTTGAACCCATTATCCATCCCAACCATTGTGTTGATACACTCTGCCTTGAGATTTTCTGAATAATTACTGGATAAAGAAATATTCTGGAAGGAGAGAGGGAAGATCTGAGCATGAAATTCTGCTGAATTCTCTTAACCAAGGATCTGGCAATTTCCAGTGAACGCTATTTCTTAAGAATGTGTGCCACATTTTTAGGGAAGTAAAATACTTGTAGCTGCCATTATGACTACTGACTTTCATAACGCTCAAAAAGTATCTTGGACACTTAAAACAATTTAACACTGAAATCTCAGCTCCTGTCTTTGAAACTACTTTTTAATAACCTGCCAGAGGACAGGACACATATCAGAAAGAAAAAGTCTAGTACTATTACTTATAGAATGCCAAATACTCAACAGTACTAAAGTTTACAGCACTATAGCAAAGATGAGGATTTTTACTAAACAAAATTGCCTGTCTCCCTATAGAAATTCCTTCAATACGGAGGAGAAATTTACTTCAACAGAGTGCCAAGATCTGCCGATAGCCTAATTAACAACACTGGGAAAAGCAGCATGACCCCTAAGTGTCCCAAATCCATCCTGGCAGCTCAAAACCAAATTTTAGATGCTAAATGAGCAGGGTAACATCGTGAATGATTTTGAGAAATAGTGTCAGTCTATTCCCAAAGGAGGATAATCAGTTCTTATTGCTTCCATTCATTCCTCCTTACATTATATCTTCTACAGTCACAGAGAAGGCAGAATCAAATCAACTTGAACCAGGTCAGCCTGTCCTCTTTTGCATCTGTTCACATTGGTCTTAAAAGCAGCTGTCTCTCTGATATCCACCAAAACATCTGCCAAAAGTTCTACAAAACCAAAGCGAGATGCCAAAAATGCATACAAACAGCAGCTTGCTCCTGTGTGCTCACATCATTTTATTTTTAATTTCTCTGTGCCCAAAGGCATACGTATTTTCTACTCATTGGAAACAACCTGATAAATTGGTGACATATTTCACCTGAAATTATTTTTCCTGAAATAAATTTGAAGACATAAAGCAGTCAGAGAATGCATACAGCTACATGTGTTGCATAAATAATCAGATTTTTGGAAGGACTGTGAAAACATATCACGTACAAGACAGTCTGCTCTCTATTTTTCCACCAAAATCTCTTTAGTTGGACATCACTGGATGACTTCAGAAAGAAAAATGGCTGGGGGATGCAGAAAAAAATAGCTGCATGAAAAAACATTCTCAAAACTATTAATAATTATGGCGAGGAAAAAAGCCCCCTCCCTATAAATAATAAAATTAAAAAAGGAATAAGAGACATTAGTTCACAGGGTACCACGAGGACCATGCAAACACCAGAACATTTTGTGCATGGAAAAGCTGTACTGGCTGAACAGGAGCAAGAAACAGATGATCAGCAAACAGTAAACAAGTAATGTTTGAGAATAACATGGTGGGAAGATCACAGTCACTCTGTAAGGAACCCCGCTATCCCCACAGCTTTTCTAGTGTGCAGGGTTTTCTTCATGTCCTCAGGTGGAATAGCATTTAAAAGCTTGCTGCCATGGCAAATGCTACCAAAAGCAGGGTGAGGGCTGGTTATGGATTCACTTGCAATTGCTGCCATTTGTCACAATCTCCAAACTTACTGCCCTTGATTTAATCAGGCAATTGTATTCTGGGAACACTTATGCAATAAATTTAAAGTGACTCTCAGGGCAATTGAAAAGTTGTATTTGTACTAACTGGTTTTTGGGTTTATTTTAATAATCATCCTTTTTTCCTGCTTCATATTTGGAAACTTATGTTTTGTCTTACAGCATTCAGTTTCACCACGTTGACAAGCATCATGCCAATATACTGTCTCCCCGATTCTTAGCCCAGCAGAAACCAGGAGTCTTCTAGAATCAGGGCTTGTTTTGGTCTTATAGGAATCAATGACTCAGTTTGTGTTGGTTCATGGCTGATGGGGGCAGAGGTGAACAAAGAAAACAACCCTCAAAAAGAACCCAAAACACATATGCCTTGATTGCATATGCCTTGATTAAATACAGCACTGCATCACTTGAAATTACACACATGCTTCAGGGCTCTGGTGAACCCAGACCAACGTAATGATTATAAAACTACAGGGGGATGTATTTGAACAACCACACGAGCCTATGAGATCCTAACAGGAAAACATCAAATATGAATGTTAAGTGTGTACTCATAGTTGAAGCAAGAAATTAGAGAGTCGTGGGCTGACACAAGATATCATTCCTATATAGCAGAATGTGCTTCCATTTCCAGAAAGGATAAATGCAAATCCAAAATAGAGCTAACAAGCAGAAGAGTGACTGGCTTCACTCTTAATGCCAAACAGCACCATGGCAGCTCTTCTGCAGGAGTGCAGATACAACCATCCCCTTTCACCCTGGAGGTTCTTTGCTTCATGCTGGTGACACAAGTTTTGCTTGAAGTTATACTCCTAAGAAACAAAAATGCACTTTCTACACCCAGTATTATGGGACAGTTTCAGTTGTGGCAAAGCACAAGTTCTCAGAGCTTCTCTGTGAATAACATTATTCTACCTCAGGCCCATCCTTTTAGCTCTACACCGCTGGTTTTGCTCATTGCTTCATACATTCTTCCCCTTTTCATATGAATGGAATACAATAAAGAAAAAAGAATACTTTTCCATTCCAAATGGTTCAGCAGCCAAAGGGTGTAGATTGCACAAATACACATGAAGGGCAGTAAAAGAGGGATAAAAATAAGTATGTAATTCAAATTGTGCTGCTGCTGGCAAGTTTGTTAGGAAAGGCTAAACAGAGCTGACCAAAATTACATACTGTTGTAACAATGGTACAAATCGGTTACCTGGAGGAAGGAAACAATATAGTTACTGCAATCAAAGCAACAACAAAAATAACGTATTACCTGATATCAGAAAGATCACATTTGTTTCCAGCAATGGCCATTACAATGTTTTCAGGACCATGTTCTTTTAGTTCTTTCACCCATTTCTTCAAAGTATGAAACGAATCCTAAGTCAGAGAAATAACAAATAAGCTAAAAGCCAAGGCTCCACTGATGTATTTGCTTATTTTGTGAAGTTAGAGGAACACAGTTTTGACAGTATTAATGCAATACTAACTTTGTAGATCACAAGACCAGATCACTGTATCTACGTAATCTGCTTCTTAAACTTTAGGTTATAAGACTTCCTCGAATTAATCTTGAACTTGGACATTTGGCCCCTTTGCCCACGTCCCCTTCCCCTCTCCCCCAAAGCACTGAATGTTTTTCTTAAACTTTCCTTTTTTGGCTAGTAGCCATTTCCTTCACTTTTAATGTGAGCTTCATTTATCTAAGTTCTGCCCAATGAGTTAACATCCCAACCACTGTCATATTTTCAGTAACACCCAGGAAAGCTTTCACAGTGACACTCCTCTCCCCTCATCTCTGAATCTGTGACCTGCTAACCCCCAATTTACTCATTATGAAACCAAAGGGACAAGTGAATATTCACTTGGCTTTTTCCCTCCAAGTACAAAATCCAAACACTTTTTGATGTTACCTTTTAATAATAAATTTTCTATTTCCTTACACTGATGAACAAACAGCATTAAAATCACTGTTGCTCCTAGGTTGAAATTATTACTGAAACTCAAAGTGAGCTCCCAGATATATAATAAACCGTTTTCCCCCTTCAGAAATGCACCTAAGAGTTATGTCTAAATCAGCAACAGCTGTCTCAGTATCACTGAAGGGAGAAAACTATCAGTCATTTGGAGAAAAATGAAATCCATTGTTTTAATGATCAACAGTGAATATTAAGCATCAGAAAGTGAAAAACACATTGACCTTCCTCTCCTGTTTTCCCCTCTTGAGCTGCTCCACATAAGCTTGGAAAAAGGCTGGCAAAATAAAACTCTATTCTTACAATGCATTACAAGATCAACTGTGAGATACATGAATTAAGAATAAACATCAATCCAGCATGATTCACTCTTCCTCATCTTTTCTTGGGAAATTAGAAAAGGAGAACAGTACTGCTGTGCAACAGTGGCCACCATCATCATCCACAGATCATTACACTAATGCACTGGAGAATCAACCCAGCCCTCTCAGCCTAGTAGTAAATAATTCAATTGGCAGGGAAGGAGTAAAATGCTATCGAAGTGTCATGACCATCCACCCATTAACACCACCTCTAAGTCAGCTTTATCAGCAGGGGTTTCTTTTAAAAGCAGTGGAAGAGGCATTCAGCTAGAACCTCCTTGACTCCTCTGCCTGAAAACTGAGCCAGAGCCTTTTAGGATCGGAAAATATAATTTTCATTTCAAATTAATAATGTTGAAACAAAGGCCAGAGACTTTATATTTCATTACTGGCTTCAAAGTTAAGATATGAGTCCCACAGTGCAAACAGGAGATGATATGCTTAGTTAAAAATAATTAGTTTTAAAATCAGTAATATGCAAGCAACTGAACTTGTGTTCCATTGATAAAGCAACCAGCCGCTTTTCATAGTAAAAATTCAATTCCATACAGAGAACAGAGGTGGTGGTGGTGGTAGGGGGTATTGCAGGGTATTACCCTGTCTACTCAGCCAGAGGAAATCCAAAGGAACTGACAAAATGCAGTCTCTGACCTTTTGTCTAGATGAAGTTTAAAAAACACAGAAGCAGAACTTCGTGTTTAATTTTTTAAGCCAGTGGACACCTCCATCCAAGTCTACACAAACTATCAAAGCCCCACAACAGGGATTAACTTATAAAAGCTTCTGAAGTTATGGGTTTTAATTCCAGCGCTGGTCCAAGCAGAAGAGTTGACTCAAGCAAAAAGCATACAGGTGGTCTTACCTGTTTGGTGATATCATAAACTATCACGGCTGCTGCTGAACCTCGGTAGTACATTGGAGCCAAGGAATGAAACTGTTAAAACACAACACCCCCCCAAAAAAACATCATTAATAAATCACAATTATCACAATCTGTGTCAGGTCACAAAGACCTGCCATGGCAGGACCACTGACTTTCTTTCATCCCATAGAGAAGAGACTTTTTGAGTGGTTGCCCATCTCTAATTTTTCTCAAATGTCAAAGAAGCAGAGATCCCTTATCTCCTGCTGTTCTTCATCCTGATGGATTTATGTAATCAACACTTAGTGGTTCAATGCATCTTTTCCACTAAAGGGCATGGACTCTGAAGACAAATTCTGATACACAGATCACCTACACTTGCAGGGCCAACTTGACAGCATTTAGACCCCTTCACCTGACAATCTGCAACATTTTGCTTTGTAGTTGGTAACAGACTGGATTCAGCTGGGGCTCGAGTTTTATAAAACACTGCAAATGACTTGGATAAAATTAACTTGTCAAAAAACTCTGACCACCTGTCATGTTTACTTATCTATGACAGATAGTTAGACAAACACGGGTTCCTGCAGTTCAGTTACTCTTCAGCTTCTTGTTTCAAGGGAAACATCCTCCAAGAAAAAAAACACAAGCAATAAATATGTTTATTATAACAACAGCTTGCCAATGACAGCATAATTTTTGTAATTTACCATGACTAAGCAGCTGATTTACAATTTCAGCTTATAATTACACAGAGAAAGGAAGTCGAAAAGGCTTTCTGCTGATTCAACTGAACTTTGTCTTAAGCAAACTAAAAATAATCTTTCTTGGAAAATACATTTACCCTCACTGTACTCTTGCAGCCATTTCACAAATCTTTATTTGCAAAGTGATCTGCAAAAGCTTCATATAAAGCTGCAGCTAATAGCAGAGGTCAACTGCTAAATCAAATGCATTACTAGGGCAGGGCATGAATCCCACTGCCCACTGAACATGCACAGATCCACGTGTTATGTTGCAAACCTCTGCAGATTTACTGGACACATCCTTTTCTCAGAACTGCGATTACAGACTGAGCATTTAGACCTAGCAGCCTGCACATTTCTTGCTGTTTCACGTGCTACGTATAAAGTGAGTTAGTTGTAGTATCGGTTCATTTGCCAGTGTGTAAGCTGTTCATCACAGATAACACACTCAGTTCAAGGTTGATACTTTCTCTCATAACAGCAAGGATGCACAACAGCAGTGACAGATGGTCAAGTGCTGAAGTGCTTTGGGGAGCGAGGCAGGTGGGAGAGTTCGTTAATAGGAGAAAACAGCAGGAAGGAGGATGAGAAAAGAGAGAGGAATCGGTCAAGAAGCATGATCTTAAGAAAAGGGATCAGCCAAGATCCTGGGGGAGCTGGTGAGACACACGTTCTCCAGGCTTTCAGTGTGTGGCTTGTATTACTTGCATGTTTAATGCAACAAATGCTTTCCAGATTTTTTGGGCTTCCAGATCATGCCATTCATTTCCAGTGTGTTGGACTAGAATAGGCTATTTCAGTTGGAAGGGACCTACAGTGATCGTCTAGTCCAAATGTCTGACCAAACCAGAGCTGACCAAAAGTTAAAGCATGTTATTAAGGGCATTGTCCACATTCCTCTTAAACACTGACAGCTTGGAGCATAGACTACCTCTCCAGGAAGCCTGTTCCACTGTTTGACCACCATCTCGGTAAAGAAATGCTCCCAAATGTCCAGTCTGAACCTTCCCTGATGGGATGCAGCTTTGAACCATTCCCTGGATCTGAGGCAGAACAGATCAACATTTCCCTCTCCACTTCTTGGGAAGCTGTAGAGAGCAATGAGGTGGCCCCTCAGCCTCCTTTTCTTCAGACTAGACAAGCCCGAAGTCTTCAGCTCCTCACAGGACATTCCAGCTCTTCCAGCTTTGTTACCCTCCTTTGGACACAGTCAAGGACCTTCACATCCTCCTTAAATTGTGGGGCCCAGCACTGTACACAGCACTAGGAGTGAGGCCACAATCACCTCTTTTGACCCGCTGGTTCTGCTGTGTTTGATGCACCCCAGGATGCAGTTTGCCCTCTTGGCTGCCAGGGCACACTGCTGACTCCTACTGAGTCTACTGCTGACCAGCACTGCCAAGATTCCTTTCTGCAGGGCTGCTCCCCAGTCACTCAGTCCCAACTTATATTAGTGCCTGGCATTACTCCATCCTAGGTGCAGAATTCAGCATTTCAACTTGCCAAATTTCATCCCATTAACCATTGCCCAATTCTATCTAGATCCCTCTGCAAGGCATCTTGCTGCCCAAGAGAGTCAACAGCACCTCCCAGTTTGGTATTGTCAACAAGCTTACTAATGGTGCGTTCAACTCCTCCATCCAGACCACTGATAAACATCTTGAACACAACTGGCCCTACAATTGAACCCCGAGGAACACCACTGGTGACACCCAGATGTAGCCCCATTCACTATAACCCTTTGAACTCTGCCTCACCCAGTGTTCCATAAACCCACTAATCACACAGCTGGACAACTTGATGATGTGAGAGGCAGTATCAAAAGCCTTACTAAAATACAGAAAATCTACAGATTTCTTTCTAAATTACAGAAATTCATCGCCTTCCATTCATCCATTAGCCAGGTGACCTTATCACAGAAGGATATCGAATTAGTTAAACAAGACTGTCCCTTTGTGAGCCCTCCTCCCCCATGCCCTTTCTGTAGACTGGAATAACACTGGCTAGCTTCTAGCCAGCAGGGCCCTCCCCAGAATCCCAGGTCCTTTGGTAGATGATGGAAGAGGGGTCCTGCTGTAACATCTGCTAGCTCCTTCAGAACTCCGGGATGAATCCCACCAGGTGCCATTGGCTTGTGAACATTCAGCTGATACAGCTGACTCCTAACAATTCCAATGTCTACAAAAGAAAAGTCACTGTTCCTGCACTTGTAGTCCTTCAATGCAGGGGACTGGACAGCCTGACATCTATCAGTGTTATTCAAGGCTGAGGCAAAAACCACAATGAACACCTTTGCTTTTTCTTCATCCCTGTTAGTCCCTGTTGACCACGTTCAACAAGAATGTTTTCTTCAGACCTTCTCTTGCTATTAATATACTTTTAAAAGCCTTTCTTGTTATCGGAAACGACACTGTCCCATTTCAACTCTCGTTGAGCCTTGGCCTTTCGTGTCTTCTCTCTGCATAAACAAACTACAGCTCTGGACTCTTCTTGAGAAGCCTGGCATTGCTTCCAGAGATCATACAGTTCCTTTTACTTTGTGAGCTCCATGAGGAGTTCCCTGTTCATCCAAGCTGGTCTTCTGTCCTGCTTACTTGACTTGCAACACAGTAGAATTGCCTGCTCCTGTGCAAGTTTGAACTCATGGACTCCTAAGCTCTCAAAAACAGATTCCACATGTACTCTGTTAGACAGCTCCCTGAGTAGTTTACCATTTGCTCTCCTGAAGTCCCAGGTGGCAACTCTGCTGTACTTTTTTCCCATTATACTCAACCATTTAATGATCACTGTGGCCAGGGCAGACACCTACCACCACATCCCACAGAAGTCCTCCTCTATTCACAAATAGTAACAGTAAGGGGGGCATCTCTCCTAGTGAGTACCTGTGACAAGAAGTTATCTCCTACAAACTTCAAGAATTTCCAAGACCTGCTCATCAACACGTTTGTTGCATTAAAAGCAGCCTGAAAATTAGGGACCTTAATTATGGAGGATAGGTCTAACCTTTCATGGTGTATGCACACTCCTCCCAGTCTGAAAACTCTTGGGATAAAACCAACATAGTCTACACACATGGAGATTTGGTTTTAATCTAGATTACACAGTATTCATAAATTTACAAAGAGCTCTAAAATAACAGTAATCATACTTCCCAGGAGCCATGCAGTTAAACTCACATACTTCAAATTCCTTCAGTAATGGCCCAGAAAGCACACTGAGAACCTGTACAACATCTTGGGAATTTCAATCCTTTTTCTTTTGACCAGGTGACAAGAACACTTTCCATAATAGCTGTTTCACTAAAGATTATTGCCAGTGTTAGGGCCAGAAAGTAGTAGTGGTAATAACAACAACAAAACAACACAAAAGCAGACCTCTTTCACTGGACAAGTAGAATTGAATGCAAACAACCTTTTTTTTTTTGGTAGGATTAATCTTTAGCTGGATTCCCAAACCAGTTTGTTGTTCATCAGATAAGCTCCAGGCTCAACCAAAAGGAAAGGGTGGGAAAGCATGGCTGAGAAAAAGGAGGGAAGACAGGACTACTAGAAAGCAGATTCACGAAGTTTTAGACCACAGCCAAATAGCTCTGCGCTTGCAGAACTTCTTTGCGCACATCTCTGCTGGTACAGTCTACTGCCACTGGCAATTTTACTCTCTTTTTCCCGTAATGAAAGCAATGATAATTTAAAATCAGTGCAGGTAATATGCAGAAACAAAGAAAACTTATTTTGAAACATTTCTGGAGATTAATTAGGGACAATGACAACAGTGTGTTGCACTTCAACAACAGAAACTCCAAACTGTGTCAAGCTATGTTTGGCCTGCTGCTTATTTCAAGAAACATAAAAAGCATCAACCAGAGGCGCAGCATGTGGGAGGAATGCATTTAAGACAAAATAATCTACTTAAATATTCTAATTCTTCATAAGATTGGAAAGAGGGAGGGCAAGACCACAGCAAGCTAGGCTCAGAAAGGCAACTGCCTTTGAAAGGCGCTCAGGCTCAGTAGCTGTTGCTAACGTAAGTATAACCTCCCTCATCTACTCTACTGAAAATCTATCTACTTGCTCAGCTGACAGGACAGTTATTTCCTCTTTCATGATTCTTAAGTAATATTTTAGCTATGAGGCCTTTAAAGAGGACAAACATTTTGCCCACATTTGGGCATGTAGCTTCACGATCTGGGTGTTTTTTTAATATCAAGGGATAGATCTCATCTGGCATGTAAATTCATATTCCCATTTGGATAAACCTGACACTCAAGATTTCATATCTTACTTTGGCCAAAGTGCCCAAAATGGGATTGCAATGCATCTTAATGCA